CTTTAACTTTTACCAAAGTAATTTTTTTGGTAAGATACTTGTACTTTTACTCAAGTATCACTTTGTGGTACTTTACACTGCTTCTGTGTAACAATTTTGGTTGACTTTTCTAATTTTGTCTCCTAATGCATGTTTCACAGTCATTAAAGGGTTGGTTGTGGAGTAGCATCCATCTAGTCATTTTATTTTCCAACACAGTACTCCTTAACTAGGTAGTCCAACATGTTTGTTGGGTATAAGTTTATCTGGGGTTGATCTTGTTCCATCTAAAAGTTCAGCTTAGTTTGTTGTTTTATTAAGCTCATCCTTTTCACTACCCTTATCTGTCAGGTCCCAACATGCACCACAGCAGCAGCAGCTCATCAATGATGGCAGAAGAAGCGACCCGCGGCGTGGCTGTGGAGAAAATAGAGGCAATGAGAAAATGGAGTTTAAACACTTATAAGGTTGGGATGTTAAATGTGAAGCACAGACATGATACTATTTATGTATTTAATAGTAAGTAATTACTTATAGTCACTGATACATTCTCTGTGTGCCTTGCTCTGTTTTAGTGCACAAAGCAGATGATTTCTGAGCGTTTCGGGCGGGGCTCGCGGACTGTGGATCTTGAGCTGGAGGCTCAGATTGAGTTGTTGAGAGACACAAAAAGGAAATACGAGAATGTGCTGCGGTTGGCCAGAGCATTGACCAATCACTTCTACAACATGGTGCAGACACAGCATGCGCTAGGTGACACCTTTGCTGACCTCAGTCAGAAATCACCAGAGTTACGGGTGAGATTTCAAAACCTGTTCATTCTTTTAAACTATTACTAACATTGTTTTTCTCAAACTCAATGTAATTACTCAGAAAACACATTTTTTTTCTGCTTCACAGGATGAATTTGGCTACAATGCAGAGACCCAGAAGCTGCTGTGTAAGAATGGAGAGACTTTACTTGGTGCCATTAACTTCTTTGTGTCGAGCATCAACACACTAGTCAATAAGACCATGGAGGACACCTTGATGACAATCAAGATGTATGAAAATGCAAGGTTAGCACATGAAAATCTGAGCTGTGGAAATGGGAAGCTAAGTCAAACATGGATGTGGTTACAAACGTGAGACGGATCAATTTTTAACGGTCATCTTACTGAAAATGCTTCAGCTGCTCTACAGGAATTCAAATAGTCTCCTGTGTCTCTTGTTACACATTGATCATCAAATCCAGAACGAACATGATTAAAACTTGAGTYCACTGCCCCCAAGTGGTAAAAAACAATATTGCAGGTATTAGATTCCACTAAACTCTGGAAATAATGGTGTAAGACTTGTGGTTATTTAAACTATGTAATAGTAAAATACATCTTTAATTGACTAGTTTAAATGTAAAACATGAACCGACTTCCAAAACGTCAACATGTCATCTTGTTTCTGATTTATTTTATTTTATTTTTTTGACAGTCAGTCTGCTTTTCACATGGTTGAACATAAAAGCTTAAACCATAAATATAAAATATCATATTCACACACTTGACTATGCTGGTGTGTTGTGTGTGTCTCATGCTGACAAACATGTAGACAGATTATTGGATTATTATTACTATCAGATCCTATTCACAAATTGGGGATGTTGACACCCATCCTGAAGGTTTTTGCTACAACTATTTGTTGTTGAAAATGTACATTATTTCATTTATTTAAAAGGGCCGTGTATGAATCAACATTAAAAATAATATAAATGCACCAGAGTTAGCATAATATCTAATTTAATTATTTTTTTTCCTTAATGAYCGTATTTTCTTTGCTCTTTATTTGTGCATGTGTAGACTGGAGTTTGATGCCTACCGGTCAGACCTGGAGGAACTGAGCCAGGGTCCAAGAGATGCTGTAGCTATGGCGCGAATAGAGGCTGCTCAGCAGCAATATCAAGTTCATAAAGACAAGTATGAACGTCTTCGCTCAGATGTTATCATTAAACTGAAGTTTCTGGAGGAGAATAAGGTTAGTCTGAGCAGCAGGTCTGCACCATTTTTGTTTATAAGAAAGCATTTAATTAAAAATGTCCATGTGTTGTTTTTCCAGGTGAAGGTAATGCATAAGCAGCTCCTCCTCTTCCATAATGCCATCTCGGCGTACTTTGCCGGCAATCAGCAGCAACTGGAGGAAACTCTGAAGCAGTTTAACATAAAGTTGAAGCCCCTGGGAGTCGACAAGCCTTCCTGGTTAGAAGAGCAATGAGAGATCCTTCAGGATCCTGCAGCCTTCTTCACCTGTTACCTGTTGACACCCACAACTTACAGAAGACCACAACAGAGGGAAATACTCAGTGACAACTGGGTTGATGTGGATATTAGGAATTTTTTTGTCTCATTGACTGGATTGCAGGGTTCGATTTGGGTCATGTGTGACATGCAACAGAACATTGAGCGGCCAGTTTTATGAACATTTAGGAGGCRTTTTTTGTGCCTCTCTCCTTCCCAGCTTCCTTTTTTAAAACCCTGTGCTACAGTTTTGCTCTCATCCACTAATCATTTTCCTTCTTATGCTATTTTGCTGTGTGAGCTTGTCATTATACTCCTCAAATTCAGAGTTGATCTTGTGACTCCAATGGGGGGCTTAAACATTTAAAACACACATGTAAGTAATCACTAATTCATCACTCTCCCACTGTGCCTCTTTATTTATGAGCTGGTATTCAAAAGTGAAATGCAGGATAAAAGTTACACAAAAAGAAGTTTTCAACCATACACTAAGGGGATTTGTATATTAATTTAAATGAAATATTCATAAATTTATGTAATTATACTATTTTTCGTAGTTCAAAAAAAAAACCCCACATTTTTTATTTTTGAGTAAATTAAAGTCTCTGTTTTTTTATTTTACTTCAAGCCTTGTACTGTATGTTGTGTGCTGTACTGTATGTTAAAGTGAGGGATCATTTGCTTTGGATGTGCGTGATGGGATTTTAGGAAAAACACTACAGTTCTCCACAGACTCTTATTGCCATTATTCATATATGCAACAATCATTTAAGAAACACTGCCACAGATTTCCAAAGTACTAGTCTGATTTAGTACTAACTCTATTTTATTTACCCAAAGAGAACTGCTTGTGTTAATTGGATGTTGATGTTTATGTTGTTTACATGGTTTGTTGAAGCCTCATTGGAGGGTTGTTAAAGTAAAACGTATTTTAAGATAAGTTTCAGTCAGAATCCAGCAAACTTGACTTGATTCACTTCATTAGAAACTGGAACTGCATCAAATAGAAAAACAAGGTTTTTCTTTTGTGATTTTCTTTTAATGTCAAACCTATGTCTGACATAGATGATCACAGCTTTCAGTTTCTCAGGAGTTTTTTTAACAGAAGATTACTGTACTTGTTACAAATTTTAATAKTTTCACATTGAATCTTGTAGTTGATTAATCTGGGCGTGTCAGTACTCAGTATCTTAGTAAATAATCAGAGGTGATTGATGGTTAAAATTGTGTTACAWTGAAATAGAGGCATTAGTGCAGAGGTAGTATGTTTTATTTGTCACTTTGCTTAAGTTGATCACATTGTGTTCATTTGTTAAAATCAACAAATTTCCTTACTAACAGATATTCATTTGTGATTTTTTAAGAAGAAAATACACATCAGAATGACCAAATCTGACTGACCTACTCTAAAATATAATTGACTGAGTTATTTTAGTAACTAATGTCAAAAAAAAAATCAGCATACTGAGTGGTTATGCTGTGCTCACGAGGGCCAATAATAAGTTTGATCAGTTAACAGTTCAGTCTGCTTCTTGTCTCTGTATTTGCATGGCAGGTGGCAAACCAAATGTTCCGATCTGTGTGCTCACACTAAAGCTCAACCCTTTAAAAGCTTGCATGAACTGGTGTATTGTCACGTTTACAGCTGTTAACTTCAAGGCTATAACTGGCTGAACCACAATCCAACATTTGAGTTTAATTTTTTATGAGACTTTTAAAGACAACAATAAATACAAAAAATATGTAATTTGGCTAAAAAAAAAGTACAATTTACAGGCCAGCACCTGGTCTGCTTGACTATCATAAGGCAATATCAACAAAATGTGATTCCTTTTTTTCCTGACTTGTCCTTTTATAAAATTCATTATCCAATAATGAAATGAATTGCAATACATTGTCATTTCACTTTGTTCCAAATGTGTAAAAACTCTTAATGCATAAAAAAATACTTGACAAACATTTGAAGCTACTCTTACTGAAGTCTGTTGTCAAGAGGAAGAGTGAAGTTTCTAAAATGATATATTTTATGGGTACAATCAAATGTTTTCTAAAATGAGCTGATGTGTTCTTTATGAGTCTATATAAAGGATTTATGATCATTTAGGGAAAAAAAATGTCATGAATACTTCTGCTTTCATTCCTTATTCACACGAAACGTTCCATCAAAATTAAAAGTCTACATTTTGAAATAATTTGTCTATTGTTTTTTTTTTTTTTTACATTTGTGCACAATAAATCTTACCCCCACAAATAAATAAAYAAATTTATGTTTAGCCTGAAATAACTAACCATAAGTGATCTATAATTTTTAACACTGGAAAGACAAAGCTGTGCTGTTGCAAAGTATTCAACAGGTCTTTAGCACATCTTGGTACTGCGCATGCTCCGTCAAAAGACTGGCTTCATCCGCAGAGGGGCGTATCCAGTGTCATTTAATTATTGAATGTGATTGGTGGAGATGCTCTGCGCACCTGCGGCTGTAGCTTCTGGGGCACACCAACCATGGGCTGCGGGGGCTCAGCGTCAGGTCGAAGGGTCAGGCTTCAAAAAACGCTCGTAAGTAAACATAACAATAAAAATATGAATTTTAGAAGAACAGCCGCTGAATAATTTATTGAATACGCTAAATTGGTGAGAGTTTGAGACCTTGGACCAAGTGAAATTTATAGCCAAAGGTGTTAAAATGAGTACATTTTCGCCGTGTTTGATGGCGTCTGCCGTGTTAACTTTATTACTTGACAAACTTTCTTTTACCAAGCTAAAAATGAAACTACATCTCATGCTTCAGTCCGTAAATGATTTTTTTAAATTCCTTGTATGTATGATAGCAATTATGTCGATCTAAATCCTCAAATTTGTATTATTTTGCTCGCCATGACGAGTTCTGCTTCTACACCTGTGTCTATTAAGTCAMACATTGCAAAACTATTTTTGAGATACAGTTTTATTATGTCTAAATAAATACTGAATGAGATTKTTTCTTGTTTGTCAAAGAGAGAGAGAAAAGTTATGTTTTAGTATATCAAAAATAGGAAACAGATGTCTACAGAACACTTCTGTTTTAATAAAGGGTAGTTTTAACTAAGTAAGTTATTGTGGTTATCTAAATTGTTTTTGTCATTGCACATTGTGTTTGGATTGTTTTAGTTGTGTAGTAAAGCCGACATCTTTCACTTATTTTAAACACCTGGCCTTATCTTTGTGACTCACACAAGTTTATACATGAATATACTTAAATGATATTCTTAACAAAAAATAAAATTATTATTATTATTATTATTATTATTATTATTATTATTATTATTATAGCTTTTGATGACTGCTGTTTCTCCTCAGGTCTGAGCGACGGGCAGCTGGAAGCTTTGGATTTGAGACAAAGATGGCGGGACTGCTGGTTTTTCAGTCGGCTTCTTCTCAAGAAGTTTCACCTCAAGACTCTTCCTCTCCATTGCCGCTGGATGCTCGGAAAGATCCTCATCTCCAAGCACCTCCTTTGGTGCCTGCCGCTGATGTTACAGCTGTGCCACCTCCCCCTCCTCCTCCTCTACCTCCTCCCCTCCCTATCCCCCCTCAGCTTCCTGCCACTCCGTTTGGCGCCCGCGATGCCCAGAGGCGCTCCATGAAAAAGCTGAATTGGGACACCATCCCCAGCCATTATGTGGTGGGTAAGTTAAATGTGTGGACGTCGCAGCGGCCTCAGAGAGACCTGGTGCTGGATGTCCGAGCCATGGAGGAGTTATTTAGTCACACTGACAACCGAGCGTCGATGCACAGTTCAAAAGTTGCGGGTGTGAGGAAGCGTGATAGCGTGGAGCTCAGCGCACAGGAGCCTCAGGTAATATTGTCTGGCATAAAGCTCTATTCCAAGTCAAGGGCTTATCATTTTTATGAACATGTAAACGGACTACAAAAATAAGAGAAGTAGTAAGCACACAGGTAGGAACTGATGTTTTTATAAGTTCCTTGCTAGACAGTGAGGAACCGCTTAAATAAAATAGATTAATGATTCCCATAGCTTCCTCAGTGCTGAGAATTTTCTGAACTTTTCTCCTCATCTGCATTAAGAGAGTGATAGAAGACAGGTCTGCCTGGATTAACCTCTCTACGACGGATAGGTCTCCCAATCATCAGTGTGCATTGCCAATGCGATGTACACTATTGTGATTCGTTTCCCTTCCAAGTCATCTCCTTTTTGTCATGCTTCTCCTCCTGCATACTTTGTCCTAGAGCTGCCATTGTAATTTATATCTGTTAAACTCCTGTGCCAAATGATGGCTATGCCTTTTGGTGCCTGTACAGCGTATAGTTTTTGAAATATTAATGTTTAATAATTTATAATGGGTGTCATTGGAACCTTGTATTGGTCCAATACTGCCCCCTGCTGTGTCTACTCAGTACTGAACCATAGTTTAATAATATTTAATCACAATAGTTCAGTGGTTACAATACTAATATGAGTCTATTTCGATGTTTTACTTTTATATTGTCCTAATATTGCTCTATTGCTGTGATATATTAAAGTTTAGTGTCAATTACATTGGCAATGTGGCCTCTTTCAGCACACATGTAAACCAACTTCTGGCAATCTTTTGTGCCACAGCTCCAATGGCTAATGRTTAATGCCATGGGCTTTCATGTGGGAGATCAGGGTTCAAAACCCAACTACAGCAACTTTAATTAAAATTTTCTTTAAACTTCATATTGTCACACAATTACCATCATCACAAACACCTGCCGACTTGACAAGCACAAGTTGGTAGAAAACACATTTGAACTTGGTCACATTTCATTCTGCAAGTCCACTGCTGCAGGCAAAGCCATGCTGCAATGACATGCTACATGGCAGTGCACACTTGTTTGTACATCGTAAAAACCCATGTCTAGTTTCTACTGTTTTACAGATGGATCCCTTCTGAAGGGGTCAGTAAGTGCAGGGCTGCTGATTTTGCACAACCATAGTAAGAGAGAACATAAATGAGAGGGCGGATCTTTACAGGTAGAGCTTTATTTTCTTCCTTTTTTTGTGAAGAGAAAATAGAGAGAGAGAAAAACAGAGAGAGAAGTAATTAGAAAGATAGAAAGACTGAAATAGTGATTAGGAGTATATTAAATATATACACCAACAAAACACAGGACCACACACGCAACATCTGTCCGCTCACCTGAAAAATAAATAGATAAATACTTATAGGGCAAATATAAAAATATACACATACCCATACATATATAAAGATATACATACTGTACATACATGCCTACATTCATAAATATTGTCCGTATATACACATAGACATATATACACACTCAGTGACGTGTCAGAACCCCCCGGATCAGAGCACCTGTTTGTGAGCAGTTGTGAACATGCATGTATATACAAGATTTTTCCAATGGAATATTTAATAGACTGTGGAGGACCGAGACCCAACCCCCAAGACACGAGGCAGACAGAGGGAAGACCAGAGCCCAAGGGCCCGTGAGGAATCCCGAGC